AAGGATTCAAGCAGATATTTTTCCAAAAAAGACATACAAATAGCTAGCAAGCAGATGAAAAGTGTTATTAGACTAAGTCATTATCAGACTAAGGCAAATCAAAACCATAATGACGTAATACCTCATACTCCTTAGATTGGCCACTATAATAACAAAAACTAGAACAAAGACCTCAAAACCTAGCAAATAACAACTGCTGGTGAGGATGTGAAGAAATTGGAACCCTTATGCACTGTTGATAGGAAGTTAAAATGGTGCAGCCTCTATGAAAAATAGTATGGAAGTTCCTCAAAAATTTAAAAGTATTATTACCATGTGATCCAGCAATCTCACTTCTGGGTATATATTCAAAAGAACTGAAAGCAAGGTCTTAAAGAAATATTTGCACATCCATGTTCATTGCAGTGCTGTTCACAATAGCAGAGAAGAGGAAACTATCCAAATGTCCACTGGTGGATTAATGGATTTTAAAATGTGGTACAGGGGCATGTAGGTGGCTCAGCTGGTTAAGCGTACAACTTCGGCTCAGGTCATGATCTCACAGTTTGTAAATTCGAGCCCCATGTCAGGCTCTGTGCTGAAAGCTCGGAGCCTGGCGACTGCTTTGGATTCTGTGTCTCCCTCTCTCTCTGCCCCTCCCGTTTGTGCTTTCAAAAATAAACAAACATTAAAAAATAATTTTTAATCACAATGAAATATCACTTTATATACACTAAAATGTCTTTCACTAAAACACAAAAAGACAGAAAACAAGTCTTGGGGAGGATTCAGAGAAACCGGACACACGCAGTGCTGGGTGGGAATGTAAACTAGGCAGCTACTGTGGAGAACAGGTTGTTGTTCAAAAAGATACACATTGAGTCACCAATGACCCAGCAATCCCCCTGTTAGGTATATACCCGAAAGCACTGAAAAGTCAGTATATAGAACACCCAAATTATAAAGCACAGTGAGTCAAGAAGCTGTTTGCCAGTGAGATACCAAGTTTGGGAGGGCAAAGGCAGGAAGCACAGGTGAAATGTGCTGGTACCACTAGGTGGCGATGGAGGACATTCCATTTACTGTAGGAAGTTCTTGAGATACATAATTCACTCAGGTTACCAGTCTTCTTTCCTTTAGATGTGTGCTACCATTTCACCTGAACACTAGAAGTGATGGAAGTCGTCTTCAGAACAATAATTACTAGCAGGAAATCCAGTGGGAAATGTTCAAGTATATTGTTATCGATACCTAGTATTAACTTCCCATTATTGCCTGCTGCACCTGATGTACTAACATGGTGAAAAACATGCTTGTCCTTAATAAGCCAGCATTCTGGAAAGTACTTCAGGTCTGTAGGGATCACACAATTTGCAAATTTTTCCAGCGCAATATTAAAGGGACTATTTGTACAAAAAGTTTTAAGAATTTCAAGATGGAGGGGGCACCTGGATGGCTCAGTTGGTTAAGCATCTGACTTTGGCTCAGGTCATGATCTCACAGTTCTTGAGTTCGAGCCCCACATCAGGCTTTGTGCTGACCACTCAGGTCCTGGAGCCTGTTTCAGATTCTGTGTCTCCCTCTCTCTGTATCCCTCGCCCGCTCAGGCTCTATCTCTCAAAAATAAACATTAAAAGAAAAAAATTTTTTTTCAACAATTTCTACCGAAGTGAAATCATAAACAAAAAATGAATTTCAAGATGGAAACACTGTGTGTCAATTGTATTTCCAAGAAAAGAAGAAACAAATCCCTTGATTAGGAACAATGAGAAATGCTATATTTCTTAAAAGTAATACCTTCCAGGGTGCCTGGGTGTTCAGTCAGTTAAGCCTCTAACTTTGCTCAGGTCATGATCTCACGGTTTGAGTTCAAGCCCCGATCCAGGCTCTGTGCTGACAGCTCAGAGGCTGGAGCCTGCTTTAGATTCTGTTTCATTCTCTGTCTGCCCCTCCTCCACTTGTGTTCTGTCTCTCAAAAATAAATAAATGTAAAAAGCAAAAGTTGAAAGTAATACCTTCCTTTGACAGCCATACAAAAATTTTTGAAAAGAACAAGTTTAAAATTCTAGAGTTAGGGTATTAAATTTCTTACCAAGAATATGGTCAATAAAAATAATATCAAAGATGGTGCATTTCCCTGATGCATAGGAGCACATGTACCCCAATGTTCATAGCACCACTCTCAACAATAGCTAAAACATGGAAAGAGCCTAAGTGTCCATCATCGGACGAATGGATCAAAAAGATGTGGTTTATCTATACCATGGACTACTACATGGCAATGAGAAACAATGAAATCTGGCCATGTGTAGCAACATGGATGGACCTTGAGGGTGCTATGCTGAGTGAAATAAGTCAGGCAGAGAAGGACAAATATCATATGTTTGTACGTATAGGAGGCTTAGGAGGAACTTGACGGAGGAACAAGGGGGAGAAGAAGGGGGGAAATGGTGGGGGAAAGGGAGAGAGGCAAACCATGAGAGACTCTTGAATGCTGACAAAAACTGAGGACTGATGGATGTGGGGGGAAAGGGGGATGGGCATGGAGGAGGGCACTTGTGGGGAAGAGCACTGGGTGTTATGTGGAAACTAATTTGACAATAAACTATTTGTAAAAAAAAAAAAAAAAAGATGGTGCATTTCTTATCATATATTTTAAATGTTCAATGCTTTTAACGATGAAATACTGTGGATACTATTACATTAATCAAAATATGTTTTTTAAGTTTATTTATTTTGAGACAGAGACAGAGAGAGTGGGAAAGGGGCAGAGAGAGGGAGAGAATCCCAAGCAGGCTCCACACTGTCAGCGTGGAGCCTGATGTGGGGCTTGATTCATGAACCATGAGATCATGACCTCAACGGAAATTGGGAGTGGACACTTAACCAACAGAATCACCCAGGAATCCCTAAGCAAAATATTTTTAATTTTAATGTTTATTTATTTTTGAGAATGAGAGAGAGAGAGAGAGAAAATGAGCAGGGGAGGTGGTGAGAGAGGAGAAGACACAAAATCCGAAGCAGGCACCAGGCTCCGAGCTGTTAGCATAGAGCCTGAAATGGGACTCGAACCTACAAACTTCAAGATCGTGACCTAAGCATTTGCTTAACCAAATGAGCCACCCAGGCTCCCCTAAGCAAAATATATTTTAAAAATATGTTTATAATCCATAATACAGATAAGCTAAAGGGAGAAGCAAGGACTGGCTTAGGTGCTGTATACTTTCTTGTCCTTGGTGTTCATAAGTGAGGCCCCTTTTCTGGCTGTTTACCAGCTCCCATTTGTCACCAGAGCTTTTCAGATTGGACACATGATTTTGATGATCTCAGGGCAAAGATAATGATGATCCTCATTAGCCTAAACTTGGGGGGGGGGGCCCCGAAGCATCAAGAGCAGACTACTAAACCAAGTGTGGGGACCAGCCTTCTAAGCACTAAGGCCTCTGTGACCACGGGTCACACGTCCATGAAGCCAACCCTAAATGTAGACAGGTACTCTATGATAAATTACAGAGTACAAACCATGCTGCTGGCCCTTCAGCTTGTTTTATTCTCCGTGGCACATTTCGCACGCACAGAATTAAATCACATTTTAAAAGTTACTGGACTAAACTATTTGTAAAAAAAAAAAAAAATCATTTTGCAATTACGGTAAAAAAAAAAAAGTTACTGGGCATTGGCTGTATTTGCGCTATTTACTGTAGGAAATATTTCCTAAAGCTTAATATAACCAAGTATGTAAATACTTAATCTAATTATGATAAAGATGTTATTAAAAAGGTACAATTGCCATTCTCGTGCTTTTCCCCACAAGACCCATGGGCAGGGAAGGGACCGGAACCGGGAGGCACTCAATAAATTTCTGTTGAGTGTGAGGAGGGTCCCCTACGCGGAAATTTTAACGAAGGGAAGTATCAGGAAAAGCTAAAAGGGAGATGGTCAGCTAGGAATCTACAAGTCATATACTTGCCAGGAAGGGCACAGGAGACCAGAGGAAATGTCCGCGAATGCAAAGTACTGTGTATAATCAGTTTGTCTACCAGTATCATCTTCCAGAACAACCTCCTAGAAGCAGGAATCTCTTCTGTTTCTTCTCAGTCGTACCCAGCGCTTGAGACATAGCAGGTGTTGGTACCGACGCACAAACGCAAGCGATGCTGCTTAGCGGAAAGCAGAGTGCACACACAGGGAAGAAGGAGGAAATGAAGCGGGAGCAAAGTTAACCAAAGTTCTGAAGGTCAGAGTGAGAATCTATATTCGGCGCATGAATAAGGACCACTGAAAAGGCAGCGACGTGATCTGCATCCGCGGGAAAAACTATCCCGTGGTACCCTGAGTAAAACAGTCATGTGTTAACATCTTAAAACTCCATCTCCCCCCACCCCAGCCTCCATACTCCACTTCCTAATGTCATAAGACGAATAGAGCTCAAATAAGAATAGTAATCTTGAAGACATGATTAGCCAAGCAAGCAAACGGGTACGAAAGCCGGTAACTGCGTGTCTGTGTGTGTGTTAACGCTGACTGTCCCTTTGTGTCTCCCTAACGGCATAAAACGTTACGGCCAAACACGGACGTTTACCAAAACTGTGGGCAGCGTCTAGGTCAAGCTGTAGTACGGCACTGGACGTGCTGGACAAAGCGGAAGCAGAAAAAGAAGGCAAGGTTTCCGAAGGTGGCCGACGCCGGGGTCCCCCGCGCACACCCGCCGGAGCCCAGGGTGGCCTCCCTGCGGAGCCGGGCGGCAACGCCTCGGGTTCATTCCGTCTTCACCGTCGCGGGCGACCACAGGCTTGAGGTTTGCTAAGCCTGCGGCCGAGACCGAGGCGGCGTCGCGCAGCCTGCGGCCGGAAGCCGCCCCGCGAGCCCAAAGACGCACGACGCTCGCCGGAAGGCCCGACAGCCGCCGCGCGCCCGTGTCCGCGTAGCGGGGAACAATAAAGTTGAACATGTTCAAAAAGGGTCCTTGTCCTCCAGGGCCCGCCGGACAAGCCTGCAAAATCAGCGTCCCGGAAAGTTCCGGGTGTGGGCAGGGCTCCCTGCCGTCGGCGGCGCTCTCCTCACACACGGTGGGATAGCGCTGGGACAGCGCCGGAGGCACGGCCCGGGCGGCGGGCGGGCGGGCGGACGCCGGGCGACCGGCCCGGCGATCGCCTCGGGCAGCCTGGCAAGGACCCCGGAGCCTGAGGAGCCCAGTGCCCTGGCTGTGGCAGCCCCGCGCGCGAGATGAAGCCCAGGCCCGCGAGGTTCGTGGACAGCAGGCTGAAGCAGCGAGTCGTGCAGGTGGGTATCGAGCACGGCCCCCTCTCGGCGGCTCCCAGGCCAGCCTGGACCAGGTCCCGGGCGGGTGTAGACCCTGAGGAGCAGGGACGGGAGGGGTGTGGACCCTAAGGAGCCGGGGACCAAGGCGGGTGTGGACCCTGAGGAGCTGGTGTCCCAGCGGGTGTAGACCCTGAGGAGCCGGGGACGGGTCTAGTGTAGACCCTGAGGAGCGGGGAAGGGGCAGGTGTAGACTCTGAGGATCGGGTCCGGGGCCGGTGAAGACCCTGAGGAGCCGGGGACGGGGCTATTGTAGATCCTGAGGAGCCGGGAGGGGGCGGGTGCGGAATCTGAGGAGCTGAGGACCGGGCTGGAGGAGCCGGGGGCGGGACGGGTGTGGACCTGAGGAGCGGGGATCGTGGCGGGTACTTGGCGTGGCTTTCACATTGTAATAGGCCCTTTGTATATTTTTTTAAGCGAATTTATTTATTTCGAGAGTCAGAGGTGGCGCGGAGAGAATCCCAACGGGCTCTGCATCGCCCGCGCAGAGCCCGACACAGGGCTCCATCTCAGGAAACGTGAGGTCTCACCCCAGCCGAAGTCAGTTGGTTAACAGACTGAGCCCACCCTCCCCCGCCCACGGATTTGTCGCTTTTGCAGCCACAGGTGACAGCCTGTGTGCTAAACGTTTTGCAGAGGCACAGTCTGCAAACAGCCTTGGGAGGAGGGAGGCCTCCTTCCCTCGCTTTGCACTTTGGGGGGGGGTGAGGGTGGGGATACATACCTGGCTTTTCTTTACTTTGCCAGCATCGATCCCTCCGTCCTTTCTGGATCATTCCGTACCCAAACTGTCACTGTTGGTAGTATTCTGAGCCCCTGTGCTGTTTCCCTGTTCCTTCACTTGCTTCCTGGGGGTTTTCTTCCAATCTGAAACCTTAAAGTACTGCCTTATATGACCACTATGTATAGTATATATATACATATACACTCTATATGCAATTTAGTCCAATACAAACAGTTGTAAGTTCAATGAAGACACACTCATTGTAAGTACTGTCACTGGGGTGCCTGGGGGGCTCAGTCCATTAGGAATCCACTTTGGCTCAGGTCATGATCTTGAGTTTCCTGAGTTCAAGCCTGGTGTTGGGCTCTGTGCTGACAGCTCAGAGCCTGGAACCTGCTTCAGATTCTGTGTCTCCCTCTCTCTCTGCCCTTCCCCCATTCGTGCTCTGTCTCTCTCTGTCTCAAAAATAAATAACCATTAAAAAATTTTTTAATGCTATCTGTATATTCCTAAAATTATGTCTCCAGTGTGGATTTTTTAAATGTTTCTTTTTTTTAATGTTTCTTTTTGAGAGAGAGACAGACAGAGGTAAAGTGTGAACAGTGGAGGGGTAGAGAGAGAGGGAGACACAGAATCTGAAACAGGTTCTAGGCTCTGAGCTGTATCAGCACAGAGCCCAATGCAGACATCAAACTCACGAACCATGAGCTCATGACCTGAGCTGAAGTTGGATGATTGAGCCACCCAGGTGCCTGTCTAGTGTGGATTTTATCTTGACTACCAAGCTGCCCACTAAACCTTTCCTGCTGAGTGTCTGGTGGGTGCTTCCACCAACATATCCACACTGAATTTTTGTGTTCTTTTCCAAACCTGCCTTTTTTTTTTTTTTAATATTTTTATTTATTTCTAGGAGAGAGAGAGAGAGGGAGAGACAGTGTGAGCAGGGGAGGGTCAGAGAGAGAGGGAGACACAGATTCTGAAATAGGCTCCAGGCTCTGAGCTGGCAGTCAGCACAGAGCCGGACGCGGGGCTCGAACCCCCGAACCGCGAGATCATGACCTAAGCGAAAGTCGGACGCTTAACCGACTAAGCCACCCAGGCGCCCCCAAACCTGCCTTTCTTAATGTTCTCTGTATCATTAATGACACATTGTCAGGGCCAAAACCCTTAACTACGATTATTATATTACTCCTTTGTTTCACTGTCTTTTCTTTTTTTTAATTTGAGAGAGAGAAAAAAGAGTATGTGAGCAGGGGACATGACAGAAAGGAGGAGAGCAAGAAAATCTTAAGTACGTTCCACACCTAGTCCCAGGTTGACCTGGGGCTCAATCCCACGACCCTGGGATCATGACCTGAGCCAAAATCAAGAGTTGGATGGTAAATGGACAGAGCCGCCCAGGTGCCCCTGTTTAGCTTTCTTAACCAATTAATTAGCAATTTATTTGGCTTTACCATCAAAATATATTCCAAACACAGACACTCCTTACCGTTTCTACCTCCAACCATCCTAACCCAAACCACCATCTCTCTCTTTTTCTTTTTGGTGTTTATTTTCTTCACTTTGAGAGAGATAGCAGGGGAGGCCAGAGAGAAGGGGGGAGGGAGAGGAGGAGGAGAGAGAGAGAGAATCCCAGGCAGATTCCACCATCAGTGCAGAGCCTGATGTGGGTCTCGATCTCATGGTTCTGTGAAATCACAACCTGAGCCAATATCAACAGTTGGAGGCTTGACCAACTGAGCCACCCAGGTGCCCCTAAACCACCATCTCTTCATTAGACTATGACAGTAGTCCCCTAGGTGATGTCCGTGATTCTGGTTTTACCTAAGGTCCATCCTTCGCAGAGCAGCCATAGAGTTCCCCCCCCCCTTTTTTTTTTAAACAAATAGTTTATTGTCAAGTTAGTTTCCATATAACACCCAGTGCTCATCCCCACAAGTGCCCTTCTCCATGCCCATAACCCCCCACCCCCCACCCCACTCCCATCAGTCCTCAGTTTGTTCTCGGCATTCAAGAGTCTTTCATGGTTTGTCTCAGAGAGTTCCCTTTAAAGGGAGCTTGTTGGGCTGTGCTCACACGCTCTGGTGGACTCCCAGAGCATCTAGAGAAAACCCATCCTACAAAGCCTGACACATTCTGCCCCCATCTCCTCTTTGTCCTTGTGTCCCTTGCTTTGTCCCTTGGCTAAAAGTAATACCTTCTAGGTCTGTTTATTAAGTAGTTAGGTTCAACCCACTGCTTCCACTGTCCTGACCACACTGACCTTAGCTCTGGGAGCTCTCAGCTCGCTCTGGATATTCCACCACTTGCTGTGTCACTTTATTCAGGAAGTGTCTAGACAGTGACTCCTAATGGCTGGATCCAGTGGCCCTTCTCAGTCTTCACCACTTTAAATTCTCAGCTTTCCCCTATTGTTATTACTTGGGTTCATTATAAAAACACTAAGTTGTTACAGTTTAAAATAGAAGGGACAGAAGGATATAAAAGAAAAACACTTTCTTCCATCTTCATTTCTGTAGAGGTAACTGTGGAGAGTTTATATACACGTGTAGATTTTACTCACACAGACAGGCTCATCTGCATCGTTCTGTTTGCTCTGTTCCCTTAGTGGTAGATTGTAGACCTCTCTCCAAAGTGGTACATTTGTCTCTTTTAACTAGCATGTTAGTTACATGTTGCTGCATAACCATCCCCAAATTTAGCTTTTATTTCTGTTGTCATCAAGGAACTGTTTGACTTGTGGAGATGAGATACACACAAACATAGGTAATGCAGCGTTACTTGTAGTAAATGACTGCATGCGCCAGGAGTCCAGAGAAGGGGAAAGTTAGCTGGAACAGTCCTGCTTTATATGTCTAGTGTCTTGTCACTGGAGGCATTTGTGCAGAGACCGTTATGGATTCTTGGGAAGAAATTGCAGTGTGAAGTCAGGCATACCTTGACTGGATAACCAGCAAGCATCGACACACGGAGGCAGATAGACATTCTGGTTTGAAATCTGGCCCTGTAATTACGTGCTCCCAAGTAATTAGCCTTTTAAAGCCTCGTAAACTTTCCCATCTATAAAATGGGGAGACTGACATCCACCTCAGAATTGTGAGTGCTGCTGAAAGAATGTGTAAAAGGCTCCTTCAGCAGGTGCGCAGAGCCCCAGTTTCTTGGGAGTTTTTCATGGTGCCTCCTGGCCAAAAGTAATACCTACTAGGTCTGTTTATTAAGTAGTTACATTCAAGCCACTTAGTAACTATTTAGTCCAAATAGTGTAGTAGCTTTTTGAAGAAATAATATGTAAAAATTGGAGGAAAATTTTTATAGTTGTATTTTATTCTTAACTAATCACATGAGTGGATTTGTATACCTGTTGAGTCAAATTGACCCTGCTACTCTCATTTCTTGTTCCACGGCTGAAAACCCAGTTTTGCAGAAATATGACCCCATCAAAAAGTGATTTAATATTGAAACCATGAATTGTCTCAGGCTAGAAGTCCCTGCAGTGTTGGACAGATGGCAAATATTATATGTTCCCTCAGATTTAAAATAGCCCTTGATGCCCTTTTGAGTTTAGTGCTTTGTTCTTGCGGTATTCGGAAATTTAGGATACAGTAGGCCGCCACTTAACTACATTATAGCTGTTCCTAATTGTTGCTGTTGTGCTGTCATGGTGATTAATAATGTTAATTAAATTCACTGGTTCCAGACTTGACAATTTGGTGATTTTTATTTATGTTTTTGATACAGTAAATAATGAGTTTTCATTATAGCATAGCATGTTTGAATAGCTCAATCTGATTAAAATCACTGTTTAAAATCAGAGTTTGAAATATCGAGTGTTGAATATTTGTGTCGTGTTTTTTGTTTTAGTACCTCACCAGTAACAGATGTGGCAAATATGTGGACACTGGAGTCTTAGCATCTGATTTACAAAGAATGTACAGGTAAAGAGATGTAGTCTCCAGATTCTTGCCTTTATTTTCTACCAGTTTTAGTTTCCATCTTGCCCAAATTTTCAGTTGATATTATCGCTGCTGGCGGTAGTTCACCAGTCCAGAAGTTCAGAGTTGAGTTATACAAAGACTTATCAAGGACCTGTTACGTGCAAGGTGCTATCCTTGTTAGTAAGGGGAATGGTTGCTGTTTCTTTTTCAGTACCTTACAGACTGGTCAGCAGTATGGCCTCGTCTCTTATCTCATTAAGGAATTAAAACCAGTAGGCATGGTCTCCCTGAGCTTCCTAGCTACCTTGAAACATCTCTAGGCTTCCCACTAAAGATTCAGTTTTTCTCTTGTGTCTCTAATCCCACGTCTCTTGTTATGTTGCTCCATTAATTATTACCACTTTGTATATTTTAAAGTCTGAAGTCTGTGTTTTCCTCTCAGTATATTAGTTTGCTAGGATTGCCATAAAAAAGTATCAGAGGCCAGCGAGCTTAAACAGCAGAAGTTTAAGGCTTCACAGTTGAGGAAACTGAAGTTAGTGGCCACCGTCTCTCCTTGCCTTGCAGGTGGTTCTCTTCTCCCTGTGTCCTCACATGGTCTTTCCTCTGTGTGTCTGTCTGTATCCTAACCTCTTCTTGTATTACTATTTTTCTAAGATTTTATTTGTAAGTAAATTCTATTCCCAAAGTGGAGCTCACTCACAACCCTGAGATCCAGAGTCAGGTGCCCCTCTTATTTTAGAGTGCCTGGGTGGCTCAGTCAGTTAAGTGTCCACCTCTTGATTTTGGCTCATGATCTCACGGTTCATGGGATTGAGTCTGGCGTCGGGCTCTGTGCTGGTAGCTTGGAGCCTGCTTGGGATTCTCTCTTTCTTCCCCTCCCCAGCTTGCACTCACTCTTTCAAAATAAATAAATAAACTGAAAAAAAAAAAAAAGTAATGCACGCCTTTTATTCTGATAAAAACAGCAGTTATGTTGGATTAATTTGCTTCAGTGCTCTGTCCAGTGAGCCCACTAGGATGCCTGCCCTGCCCTTTGGCAGGAGGAGAAGACCATGCTGCTCCCCCAGCCTTTGCCCCCTAGGCTGATGGTCGCAGTGGAAACCCTGCCAACCTCTGAGCTTCCTGCTGAATTGTTCATCTCTTTTTTTTTTCTTAACATTTATTTATTATTGAGAAACAAAGACAGAGCATGAACAGGGGAGGGGTAGAGAGAGAGAAAGGAAGATACAGAATCCAAAGCAGGCTCCAGGCTCTGAGCTATCAGCACAGAGCCCGACGTAGGGCTCGAACCCACAAACTGCAAGATTATGACCTGAACTGAAGTCGGACATTTAACCCACTGAACCACCCAGGTGCCACTTTATCCCTTTTCTTGAAGGATAACCCATGTCTACAGCTGGACGGCCCCTTTCTTGTAGAATCCCAGAAGTCCAGCTACTTTCCTACCTTTCATTCTCCCTGTCTCCTCTAGTACAAGCTGCCAGAGTTTGTGATGCTGTAACTGTGTCTCTAACAGAAAAAAAATTACAGTAGTGGAAATGTAAACTCAGACATAAGCTCAAAAATAAGCCTATGGTCAGTGTGAATTCAGTGACGGAGTTATATATTCTTGCAAGTTAATGTGATCAATTTAGATTGGATTTAATGGGAAAATGTTGGTGGAGACCATTGTAGTAACCTTCTTGTTCTGTTTTTCAGTATAGACTATGGTCGAAGAAAAAGAAATGCTTTTAGGATTCAGGTAGAAAAAGGTGAGTCTTTTAGTGTTAGAGCTGAAATATTAATAAAGTTAACAATTTGTTTAAGCTCATGACTTTTTCTTTTTGTTTTCAGTATTTAGCGTAATTACTAGTGAGAAAGAACCTAAGGATTTAACAGAATTAGAAGATGAACATCTGGCCAAAAGAGCAAGACAAGGTGAAGAGGATAACGAGTAAGGATTACAAAGAAGGGGGTGACTTATATGGGGCACCTGGGTGGCTTAGTCGGTTAAGCGTCCGACTTTCGCTTAGGTCATGATCTCGCGGTTCGTGGGTTTGAGCCCCACGTCGGGCTCTGTGCTGACTGCCAGCTCAGAGCCTGGAGCCTGTTTCAGTCTGTGACTCCCTCTTTCTCTGACCCTCCCCTGCTCACGCGGTCTCTCTCTCTCTCTCTCTCTCTCCTAGAAATAAATAAAAACGTTAAAAAAAAAAATTTAAGAAGGGGGTGACTTATAAATCATGAACCTGATAGGGCCCCTGGGTGCTCAGTCGGTTAAGCGTCTGACTTCGGTTCAGGTCATGATCTCATGGTTTGTGGGTTCAAGCCCCACATTGGGCTCTGTGCTGACAGCTCAGAGCTTGAAGCCTGTTTTGGATTCTGTGTCTCCCTCTCTCTTTGCCCCTCCCTCACTCATGCTCTGTCTCTCTGTCTCAAAAATGAATAAATTATAAAAAATAATTTAAAAAAATACCATGAACCTGATCATATTACAGTCCCAATTTTGAAATCGCCAGTGGCTTTTCCTTCCTTGCCAGCAAGGCCGTGCGGAATACCTGACCTCTCCAGACCTGTGCTTTGAACATACTGAATGCTCACTGTTGCCTAGAGAGGACGAATTCTTTCTTTGTGTCTTTGTATGAGTGGTTTTCTGTAGCTGGAGGGTTCATTCCCATCAGGAACTCCCACCCAGCCTTCAAGGGGCCACATCAATGACTTTGTGGGGCTTTGGCTTCCTGAGTGTTTCCTTAATTCCTGGTTATAGATGTTTGTTATGATGCTTATCATACGGCTTCAGGTTATTTGTATTGAGAGTTTTTATCATGGATGGGTTTTACATTTGTCAAATGCTTTTTGTGACCTTAATGAAAGATTCTATTATGGTTTTCTCCCTTTGTTCTGTTGGTGAATTACATTGATTTTGGAGTGCTGAGCCACTCTTGCATCCTGGGATATACCCAACTTGGTCCAGAAATAATATATATTATTAAAATCTTTTTGCTAATTGTTTTTGGAGATGGCTATGTTTGTACTCATAACGGTCTGAATTTTTTTTCTCTTTTGCAGTGTCTTTGTCAGGTTTTGGTATTACTACAGTTATACTGGCTTCATATTATTTGGAAAATGTTTTTTGCCTATTTGACAAAAAAGTTAGTGTGATGTTACTGATACTTCTTTTTAAATAGTTTGTTAGGATTCCTCTCAACCTGGAGACTTCTTTTTGGAAAGGATTTAGATAACATTTGATTTTGCTAGACAAAGAACTCTTCCTGTTTCTTTTTCTGCTTCTATCAGCACCGGTAAATTGTACTTTTAAAGAAACAAAACGTAACCCATTTCATCTAAAGTGTGGAATTTGTGGCTTAAGTTTTCAAGATATCCTCTTTTAACATTTATAGGATTTGTCGTGATAGCTTCTTTTCACCCTATAGCTGCTTTGCTGCCTTTCCATTTGGATTTACTATTATTTTCTTAACTAATTCCACACTCGTGGATGGTTGGTTGTTTCCAGTTTTGCACTCTCATATACACAGTAAATAGTTCTTCAGCACATTTATCTTTTATATGTTTCTTTTTTTAATGTTAAATTCCTGAAATGGTATTTCTGGGGTCAAAGATACCTTTTTGAGATTTCTGGTACCTTGGAGTTCATTTCCCAAAAAAGTTGCCTCAGTTTATATTCCTAGCAGCTTTGTGTAAAGAGTGCACTTCAGGGAGCCTGGGTGACTCAGTTGGTTGAGCATCTGGCTTTTTGATTTCGGCTCAGGTCGTGATCTCATGATTTGTGGGTTCAAGCCCTGCTGACAGCATGGAGCCTGTTTGGGATTTTTCTCTTCCTTCCTATCTGCCCCACCCTTTGTGTGTGTTTGCTCGCGCGCTCTCTCTCTCCTCCCCCCCCTTCTCCCCTCTCTCTCTCAAAATAAATAAATAAACTTTAAAAAAAAGAATAAAAAAATAGTGTGTTTGTCTGCACTCTTGCAATCCTAGTTATACTATCATGTAATCTTTGCCAGCTTCAGAGGCAAAAATTAATGTTTTTATTTGTAGTTTTTTGATAAGTAGTGACATGAAAATTTTTTTACTGTTTCATGTTTGCTTTGTTAGTTGCTTGCTTATGGGTTTTGTCTGTCATATGAGAGTTGACTCTTGATTTTGGCTTAGGTCGTGATCTCACAGTTCTGTGAGTTGAAGCCTCACATCAGGACTCTGCGTTGAAACTTGGGATTCTGTGTGTGTGTGTGTGTGTGTGTGTGTGAGATCTGTCAGTCTTTATGGTTTATGCTGAAATAGAAAAACTTCTATCACAACAGTATGTGGAATCCTTATTTCTTTATAATATTCCATTTAATTCTTTAATCCACTTTGTAGGGTATGAATTGTAAGGCAAGATTATTTTTTTCCAAACAGTTGAATAATCCACCTTCTTTACATTGATTAGAAATGCCCAGTTATGTTAATAGAATTTAATGAATAACAAAAGAATTCCTGTCTTAATTATAAAGATGGATCTTATCATTCACATAACCCTTGTTACTTAGGAAGAGTCCTCTTTTTATTTAACTATTTTCTAAAGAAACATCAATTGGTAGCAGGGTCCATCAACTCTGGGTTATAATGAGCTGAGCCTGCACTTAGAGTTTGTAGCTTTTAGGATTTATGCCTCTTTCTCACCGCATCATATGAAAACCTTTTCTGCCTCATTTCTCATGGACAGGCTTGGGAAGCTACCCCTGGTCACACAGGTGGGTCATGTTGAATTTGTGAATTTGTTACTCAATTACTTAATGATGGCTTGCTGGAATATTTCCTTTTGTGGGCATCTGAGATTCCTAATATCAGACCTTTGGGTATGATAGGACTTTGCATTTCACTTTTATTTATTGCTTGGATTAAGATAACCACAATTTGTTAGCCTTTACCGCTTAGTATATTCTGCTTATATATTCTAAGGACTTTGTGATCTTCTGTTTAATCCTCTGATAACCCAGAGAGGTGGGCATTACTTGTTATCTCCTCTTTATAGATAAGGCAGCTGATGCTCAGTGAAGTTAAGTAGACATTAGTAACCAGTAAAGTTGTATTCTGAATCCAGAATTCTCAGATTCCATAGCTTGGGCTCTTAACCACCATAATACTTTGCCTTAGGACATTTTTTGTTCAGGGTTGTAATTTTTTTAGGATGTGGGAGCAAAGCCCTTAAAATGTTTCTTTTCCTCTTCTTACTGAGGTATACTGAAAGCTCTTCAGATAATGATTCAAATATGGAAGATTACCCAGATCCGCAGGTAAGCCAAACATTTAATGGACCTACTTTGATATTTTTTTATTTTTTTATTTTTTATTTTATTTTTTTTTTAAATATTTTTTATTTATTTCTAGAAGAGAGAGAGAGACAGCGTGAGCAGGGGAGGGTCAGAGAGAGAGGGAGACACAGACTCCGAAACAGGCTCCAGGGTCTGAGCTGGCAGTCAGTACAGAGCCCGATGTAGGGCTCGAACCCATGAACCGCGAGATCATAACCCAAGCGAAAGTCGGACGTTTAACCGACTAAGCCACCCGGGCGCCCCCACTTTGATATTTTTTTAATCGTTATGAACCCTCCTAAAAACAAAACAAAACAAAACTATGGAATAGAATAAGAGACTTTAAATATCTTTATGAATAATTTCTGTGGACAGTGTTGAGGAATTCTTGGGAAGGTCATCCTTTCAGTATTTGTGTTTATAACCTGTTTTATAAGAAAAAGAAGGGAAGAGAATGGCCTAAAATAAGGGCACACAGGAATAGAAAGGGGAATTGATAATAAAAATTGAGAAAAAGATCCATTTTCTGCTAAAGAGCTACCATTGCCAATAAGTAAGGTGGCAAGTAATTTAGGGTTGCAAGTAAGTAATTTAAGAGAAATATGGAAATAATGTGCCAGATGATTTATAATATTCTCTTTTTTTTCCGCATTGGTAATTCCATTTTTTATTAACAAAGTCAGGATGATATTGAGTGATACGTGATCTGGTTTTGAATTGATGAGATAGTAGTGGCTCTTCTTAACCAGCTCGTTTTCAAACCTAATTCTGTTATTTTTTTTTAATAGTTTATTTATTTATTTTGAGAGAGTGAGCAGGGCAGGGGCAGAGAGAGAGGGAGAGAGAGAGAATCCCAAGCAGGCTCTATGCTCTGCAAGGAGCCAGATGCAGGGCTCGATCTCAAAACCGTTGAGATCATGACTTGAGCTGATATCAAGTGTTGGAGGCCCCATCGACTGAACCACCAAAGTCCCCCCTGATTCTGTTACATTTTTAAAAAGCGAGCAGACTTCTTTAGTGTTCTTTAATTTCCATTTATTAAGTTGTGGTGAAGGGGGGCACATATTTTTGAACAGGAAATTGTGGTGAAGCATCTGACTGTGAATGCCCTGTGTTTTCTGACAAAGTGCTGTGAGGGAAGCTGCTGGCAGCTGCTTGTGTGGGTAGCCTGTGTCCATGAGCGCCAGAGTGGTGACATAGGTGATGTCATGTTTCTACCAGGCAGCAAATCACATGAACAGCTCCCTGCTCTCCTTATATCGGAAAGGACATCCTGATTCTGTTTCAAGGACTCCTGAGATGGAGCACAGAGAAGCCACCGTCTCAGCCCCACGGACACCTTCTGGAACAGACTCCATCCCTTCAAAGACCCCTGCCAGGGGTTCTGAGGGAGGGTGGTTTATTGACAGAACTCCCAGTGGAAAGATGGACCTGGCAGATGAGAAGAGTAATCATAAGAAGCCAGGATCTGAGAGAGAGGTATTTTTGTAGTGACATTTTAGCCCCAAGTAGTTGGAGCACATCACAGCCTTTTCACCAAATGTAATGTCAGTCGGGGTCTCGTGCTTCATGAAGGGCGTGGGAATTTGGAAGCACACGGAGGATGTGCTCACAGTCCCATTTCTGCCACTGTTTCTGTCCAAGTTCAGGGCTTCCGATGGAGATTACCTTCCCCTGAGTTAGTCTCCATACGCAGATGTCTTTTTATGAATTAAGTCAGGTGGTTCTCTTTCGTGTATTAAGAGTGGCTTCATTCACTCTAAAATCAGAGTCCTCACAGTTATTGCCAGGAAAGCCCACTGTGCGTGGCTGCCCTGCTGCCTCTTCATTCGTCTGCTGCCCGCCTCCCCCCTTCGCCTCGGCTACCATAGCCTGGCGCTGTTCCTAGAACACCCACTCACTCTCACCTGGGCGTTTGCACTCTTGCTTCTGTCTAAAACTCCCCCAGATTCCTGTGACTCACGCTGTCTTGTTTCCCTGTGATCTTGGCAGAGTCGCTTCCTGACGTGTTAAATAGCACGTCGTTGGATGCTCTTTCCTGCCTCATCTCCTTTCTGTCAAGCCCTTATGACCACCTAGAGCTTACTGTGGAAGTGTTTAGTTGTGTTTCTTCTTTGTCTTCACTAGAACGTCAGCTTCGGAGTGCAGGATCTTTGTTTTTTCTACTAGTGTCTCCCTTGCTAAAATGTACCCAGCACGTAGTTGTCAGGCAGTTTGTTGAATTTGTGCCTGATGAGCTTTCCGAGGTGCATTTACCAGCACGAGTTAAAGAATAGGTACCTTGGGTGCGTGTTACAGTTAGAAGGCTTGTTGTCCTCAGAGGAAGGAAAGTCAGCTTGTGAAACAGCCATGGGGTTTCACAGGGAGGGTTTGTACAGGGAGCCTGTACAAACAGGCACACCGTGAAAATGTCCCGAATAAGTGGACACCTTTTTCGTTTTGAACCTGTGTGAGTTGAAGTATACCATCCATAAAAGTGAAGGTGGATGCGTTATCACAAAGTGAACACACTGGGCACTATCCTTAACTGATTCTTTTTTTTTTGGAAAGAGACCGAGGGTGCATGATGCAAGTGAGCATGGGAGGAGCAGAAAGAGAGGGAGAGAGAGAATCCCAAGCAGGTTTCCACCGTCAGCACAGAACCCAACATGGGACTCAGTCTCACCAACTGTGAGATTGTGACTTGAACCAAGATCAAGAGTGGGACATTTAATTTAACCCACTGAGCCATCCACGTGTCCCCTTAATTGATTCTTTCCGATGCCTGGCAGAATGGGAGGAGATGTACAGCGATCTATCCCACGAGGCCCCACGTAGGTCCCTGGGGCTCACTGTCCAGTGTGGTGAGTGCTAGCCACACCTGGCTCTTGAGCACTCAAAACGTGGCTAGTGCAACTGAGGAACTGAATTTGTAAAATAATACTCAGTTCAGTTATTAGAAAACTTCTAAGTATGTTTGGAACAACTCGGGCATGTGAATCTACTCTTTCAGCTGTATACTTTATGAAATGTAAATACAAATTAAATATTTCCCATTAAAATTTAGTGTCTGGGTTGAGATGTACTATAAGCATAAAATACATGTTAGACTTTGGAAACTTACTATAAAGATTAATATAAGACCTCTCAACATTTTATACTGACTATATGTTGAAGTGATAATATTTTTGAATATATTTTGTTAAAGTACTAAATTAATTTCACTTGATTTCCCCTTTTTTATATGTGGCTACTAGAACATATTTAAAATTACGTATGTGGCATTGTGTTTTTCTTGGACAATACTGTTGTAAGTGGTTTCCAAGAACCAAGCCTTTTGATTTGGCAAAAACATTCCCCTTTTGAATTATTACTGAACCTTTTTCAAATCTCTGTTAATCATGTTTTTAGAGGACATTATTGCAAGGTTAAGGAAATAGCTTGACTCTTAAGTTGAATTATACCTTTTTAGGGCTTTCAAAGCTGCTCTATAGTCCTATTTAATTTAGTGGTTCATCAAGCATCACATAAAGACCAACTGGTAAAAGGCTCAGTGAGAAATAAAATATGAACATTAGCGTCTCACCTCCAGAAGCTCACGATTCTGTGAGAGATACAAAAGAGCCTTGCTCAAGTACAGGACAGATTATGGCCAGCTCTAATACAGTCACAATTCAGTGTCCTGGGAATGTGAGCAAGAGATTAACTAACTAGAAGAATCTGGAAAGAAAGTTTTAATGTGTCAGGATATAAACTGAGCTTTACAGCTATGGAAAAGAGGCTCATCTCCATCAGAAACCATCCTGGAGCAGAGAGGTTGGGAATAACTAAGGTAGGTGCAAGCACCAGGGCAGAAATGAGGTATTTTAGGGGCCACTTGGGTGGCTCAGTTGGTTATGCATCCAACCCTTGAATTCACCTCAAGTCATGATCTTCTAGTTCTTGAATGCAAGCCCTGCATCAGGCTCTGGTGACATCGAGGAGCCTGCTTGGGATTCTGTGTCTCCCTCTCTGCCCCTTCCCCACTTAGACACGCATTCTTTCTCTCACACACAAATGCTCTTCTCTCTGAAAATAAGTAAAAATAAACTTAAAAAAAAGAAATGGGGTATTTTAAATAATGGTCATCTTTTTTTTGTTTTTTTGTTTTGTTTTGTCTTTAAGTTTATTTTGAGAGAGAGTGTGAGTAGGGGAGGGGCAGAGAGAAGCGGGGAGAGAGAGAATCTCAAGTAGGCTCTGCACCGTCAGTGCACAGACCTGAGCCGAAACCAAGAGCTGGATGCTTAACCGACTGAGTCACTGAGGTGCCCCTGTTTTTTGTTTCTTATTTACTTAAGTAATTTCTCCACCCAAACTTATGACCCCCTAGATCAAGAGTTGCACGCTCTTCCAAGTGAGCAAGTCAGGTGCCCCTAAATAACACCCATCTCTAAGAAAACATTGACATTGTAATTTCAAGCCTGGTATATTTAAATTTGTTTTCTTTCCAGGATTCCAAAGACTCTTCTCTACTGGAGAGTAATGGAAAAAGGAAAGGCAGGATGAAGCGCAAAGGAAGCAAAAGGAAGAAAGACGTTCAGGAAGTAGATGGAGAAATAGAAGCCGTCCTGCAGAGGAAAGGTGAGCCGCAAGTCTGGGGGTTTCAGCATGCTATGAGAGAGGCTTCGCCAGTCCCAGCTGTCGTTCTGAGGGGGCCTGCTGAGTGTGGTTTATGAGAAAATACTTCAGTGTCTCATGGTCTCAGTTTACTTAAACATTATTAAATACAGAGCTGAGTTACTTCTGAATCACTGATCCTTTCATCTCCTTATTTGATTACCAGTTAAAGCCAAGGGGCTGGAATTACAGATCTCCAAGGTGAAGTTCGAAGATGTTGGAGGCAATGATACGACATTAAAAGTTAGTTCACATTCAGAATTTTACTCAGATGGGAATATTGCCAATCAGCTATTCACACAAAGCCTGCCTCTTTGTTTCTGTTAGGAACTGGGTGTTGGAAGGGAGCCTGGGAAGGGGGAGGGCACACCTGGCCTGTACCCTGCAGGGTGCTGAGAGAGAGAAGAAATGGTACCTTCAGCTTTTCCACCACTAATTATGGTGTACGTAAGATTCGTGCTTTGTAAGTAATACTATTTTATACAAACAGTACTATGAAAAATTACATGCCAACAAACTGAGCAATCTGGAGGAAGTGGACGAATTCCTAGAAACTCAAATGCACTACCAGAAGTGTAAGGGATCCTTTTATTTATTGCCTAGTGGCTACTCTATACCAGTTACGATGCTGGTTACTTTTCATCATCTGTGCAGGGTACATACTACAGCTGAGGACACGGAGGCTCAGAGAGGTTCCTGGAGTCCCACATAGGTCCCAGAGCTGGGGCTCAAGGTCATATGTCAGTCTGCTGTGTTAGAGAATAGAGGTTTCCTTCACTTGGATTCCTTCTCTCTTGGGCTGTGAAAGACCGCTTTCCTGTTTATTCCCTGCTAGGAAGTCTGCAAGATGCTCATCCACATGCGTCACCCGGAGGTGTACCACCACCTGGGCGCCACCCCGCCACGTGGGGTTCTCCTTCATGGGCCTCCAGGCTGCGGGAAGACCTTGCTCGCACATGCCATTGCAGGGGTGAGCTTTGCCGACATGCACTTGCTGCTATTGCTTTTGTTCTTTTTGTCTTTGTTTTCCTCTTTGGTCAACTTGAACCAGACTTGGCATATTCTCAGGAGGATTGATCCTCTCTTCATCTTTCACCTCTTTCATTCTGCTCTTCTTGAGATGCTATTTTTTAATACATCCAATAATTTATATGGCAAAGGTTGGATGGGAAGCAAGATAATACGGCTGTAAACACCCTTTTTTTTTTTTTAACACCATGTACGTTTTAGTTCCTTCTCCTTCCCTTTAAGCCAGTGGTTCTCAAAAGCAATAAATGAGGAAGCCAAGGATTGTATTGTTTTTCACAGAGATAAATATACTGAAAATTTCCATTCAGAGTCATGTTCTTATACTTTCTAGCGTTAGAATAACGTTTCTGAGATGGTAATAATATTTAGTTGACAAAATAAAAAGTTAGCAACCTTATTTTCATCCCATCAGTTTTTTCGGAAACTGTTCAGTGGTAAATGCAAAATGTCCCAGTGACTCCAGGTCGAAGAGTAGTGTGTTACAGTAGCTAATAGGTTAGTGGTCTGAGATATCAGCGCTCTTAAGGGGCAACGGGTTTGCTTCACTTGTTCTTTGTTGAACAAAGTGCCCTATAACAGCTGCATGGCAGACGCTGGAAAACAGTGGTAAGTACAGAAAACCCAGGCTTTACATTCAAAGAGCTTTTCATTCTAATAGGAGAGGCCGACATTAAGCAGCCATCATACAAGTAAACGTTGTGCACGATCTTCGTGGAAATGAGGGGGAGACAGGAAGTGCGGGATGCTGGCTGGTCCCAGGTTGTCCGTGGTTGAGGAAGTGATTTTCAGAATAGCCTCAGGATGAGTAGGGTTTAGGCAGGCTTGTACCATCCATGCTGGTGGGCCGCAGCGGCTGCTCCTCCTTTGTGAGAGGAACCTGTCCTCCGACTCCTAACTGGCTCCTCCTCTGGGTGCAGGGGTGAGAAGTGCCTGTAGGATGAGCAGGAGACACTGTCACAACCCCTGCCCTTTCCTGTTAAATTGTTCTAGCTCAGCTGTAAGTCAAGGGGAAACATGTCTCTGGAGATTCAAGACCCTTTATTCAGAAGAGGTAACAATTTCACCATGACTCCTATGAAGTAAAAATGAGTGGAAGTATCTAGTCTCTGTGTTTGAAAAAAACTGTAGATTTTTAAATAATGGTTTTCATCGGACCGACAGAAAAGATGAAGTTCCTCAGAAAAGAGATCATTTAAAAAATTGAATTTTGAGGGGCTCTAGGGTGGCTTAGTTGGTTAAGCATCTGACTTCCACTCAGGTCATAATCTCATGGTTCGTGAATTTGAGCCCCACGTCGGGCTCTGTTCTGATGGTGTAGAGACTATTTGGGATTCTCTCTCTCTCTCTGTCTCCCCCTCTCTCTCCCCCTCTCCCCTTCTCTCTCCCTCTTTCTCTCTCTCCCCTCCTCTGTCCTCCTCTCTCCTTCTCTCTCCCTCCCTCCCCCTCCCTCTTCTTCCTCTTCTCTCTCTCTCTCCCTCTCTCCGTCTACCCCCCCATGTGCTTTCTCTCTTTCTCAAAATAAATAAATAAATTTAAATATTTTTTTTCACTTTTGAGAGAGGGATTGAATAAGGAAAAGGAAGGGAAGGTAAAATTTCAAAATGGTCATGCTTTTATGTGTTTGTCCCCAGGAACTGGACCTCCCAATTCTGAAAGTAGCCGCCACGGAGATTGTATCTGGAGTGTCTGGGGAGTCTGAACAGAAGCTGAGAGAATTGTTTGAGCAGGCAGTGGTGAGTCGGCTAGTGACCCACATCGGACCGTCTGGTCATGTGGGGTTACAACGGAGAGCCTGTCTCGTCCAGGGCCAGTGTCTGTTAGCTTGATGATGGCCATCCTCTTGTAAGCGTGGTGATTTGTTACCCGAGATGGCTAAATATTTAAAGTAGATCCACTGATACAGACTATTTGATAACATAGTCTGTTTAATCTGAAATCAAGTGTAACTGTAATTGGTGAGAAGTTCTGGGCTGTCATACCCAGTGGGGATTTACTAAAAATAGGTATCCTGGGGCACCTGGGTGGCTCAGTTGGTTAACCATCTTACTTTGGCACAGGTCATGATCTCACAGTTCGTGGGTTCAAGCCCTACATCAGGATCTCTGCTATCAGTGCAGAGCCTGCTTCAGATCCTCTGCCCCTCCCCCACTAGCATGTGTGCATGTGTTCTTTCAAAAATAAATATTGAAAAAAAATTTTTTTTAAGTTTATTTACTTTTGAGAGACAGAGACAGCGTGTACAGGGAAGGGGCAGACAGAAAGAGAGAATCCCAAGCAGGCTCTGTGCTGCCAGCACAGAACCCAATGTGGGGCTCAAACTCATGAACCATGAGTTCATGACCTGAGCTGAAAGCAAGAGTCACCTTAACAAACTGAGCCACCCAGGCACCCCACAAAAATAAATAAACATTAAAAAAAAAAGAAAGAAAATAGATTATCCTTGTGAGATTTTTTTTTCCCTTTGCACAAATTAAGTTATCAAACAACTTGTAAGCTGTGTGAAAATTTTTAGCATTTAGGTTTATCACATAAAAACAACCATAGAAATGCCAGGGTAAACTCTTCTCTGTTTGCCTAATTGAACCTGTACAAAGAAAATCCTGTTACCAGAGAAATTACGAGATTGGGTTTTATCCTAATTGTAATTCATGCTATTAAGATGTGGGTGTTTAGGAACATGGATATGTGATGGTTACAGGCCTGTGCCTGCCAGTCGGAGACATGGTCTCCTGTCCTTGTGCTGCCAAGCACTGACCGCCTGATCATGGACAAGAGAGGTTTAACCACTGTAACCTTTAGTTTCCTCACCAGGAAGCTGGGTAAATAATGTTACTCAAGGAGTAACTGATGCAGTCAGTTAAGCGTCCAACTCTTGATTTCAGCTCAGGTCATGATTTAATGGTCTTGGGAGCCTCGTCAGTCTCTGCACTGACAGCTTGAGATTCTCTCTGTGCCCCTTCCCCGCTTGCACATGTGCTCTTTCCTTTCTCTCAAATCCATTTAAGAAAATAATATTACTCAAATCTCATGGCAGTTTGAGGATATTAAATGCGAAGATTCTTACAAACCCTCAGTGGTGTCCCCAGCACACGGCAGATGCCCTGTAGATGCTGTGACATTGTGCACATTTGACGTGCACACTTGACATTGTGCACACTTGAGAGTCACTATGGTTAAAACTAAGAAAAAGTGAAAAGATCAACTTTATGTCTTTATTTACACCCTGAATATGTAAGGGCTGGTGAACATGGTCAGTATAGAAGCTGGTAATAAATTAAAAGAAAACTTGTATTTTAGTAATAATTGAGAAAATAGTTTTTTCCTTCCAAGCTTTTATTTAAATTCTAGTTAACATACAGTGTAACATTAGTTTCATGTGTAGGATTTAGTGATTCAGAGAAAATATTTTTTAAAATTGGAACTGTATAAGCCATGGTTTTGGTTTGCTCTGTAAACTGACATTGGCAGAGATGTGGACAGCACCGGGAAGATGCCGAGAAGGGGCAGGCAGGGTACTGTGCAGAGCAGGGCTGAACTCTTCCAGATGCTACCCTCTCCCCAGTGAGCTGGCTTGAGTTGTTAAGTGGGCGTGGACAACCAGGGACAGGAGGCAGTTCCGTGTTTATGGTGAGACGATGGGCATAGACAGCCAGGGACAGGTGGCAGTTCCATGTTTACGATGAAACCGTGATGGACAAGACTCAGAGGCAAATGGCACCATTCGGTTGCTGGTTCTGTGTCTCTCTGAAGCAGAGCCGCACTGGCGTGGTGCCTGACAGCAGATGCTTGCTGAATGCGGGGTCTGGTCCCCTCTCTCCTGGTCCCCTTGGTACCTAATGAAGGTGTGCAGCGAAGTGTGTGGATCAGAAAGTCCAAGCAGGTCACATGGTTCTTTGTTGAAAATGTATGCTTTCCTTTGGCTAAATCCTGACCCCCATCACTCACACTTCTTTCCTCTTTTGCTCTGAGGTTTCTGGGTCCTAGACAGAGACTGCTGTACCTTCTGCAATCTCGCTTTCTGTAACTCACTCTCATATCTGGGTACTGCATGCAGTCGTAGATGCTCCTTCGTGTGTGTTGTCATGAGGAGGCTGGGAAGACAGCCCACTGGTGATGGGCAGATTTCCCCCTTAAATTGGGGGGCCCCAGTGCTGTTGAGATGCCTTAGCCAGGCTGAGAGTCTGACTCAGTAAAGTCAGTGTCACCAAATAGCTAGGAATGAGCCATGCTGCAGATTGTGTGTCTAGGTATTTTTAGCTAAATTTTTACGTTATCTGATCCTCCTTTTTGTTTGTTGCCATTTTCAACAGTTGTGTGGTGTGACAGAAGTGCACTCAGATGCTGTGTAACCGCCACCCACACTCCTCTCCCTAGCCTGAACTCACACTTGTGAGCCACTGCCCCGCACCCACCTCCCCCAGCCGCTGGCAAGCACTGTGTCTGTGACTTTGCCCCAGGTGGCCCATATTCTGTCTTCGCCTGCTCTGTCCACGCCTTCAGGTTCTTGCTTTGAAGAAGACTCCTGGCGGAGGTGCTCGCTGTCCACACTGACGTCCCGGCCTTTACCACCCTCCTTACCCAGTGTGGTCCACACAGCCAGGCGGTACTGGCCTCTGCTCAGGGAGGTTTTCTAGCCTGACACGCATCTGCTCCCTGTTTGTATTTCATAGCATCACAGATACACCTCATTTATGGAAGAATGTCAGTGACTTGGTCCCTGCAGACCATGGGGTGACAAGAGGTTGCAAGCTGGAATCCTTTGTGCTGTCTCCCACTGTCCTCTGTCCGCGTCCGAAGGCACAGCACTGCGAACTGCCTTCTTTAGTGTTGTTCTCTTGGCGAACGACCCGAGTGACAAGATTGTTTCAGACTGCTGCAGTCAAAGGAGTATATTGATGATGGCCTTCTGTGGTACTTTTATTTCCAGTCAAATGCACCCTGTGTCTTCTTTATTGATGAAATCGATGCCATTACCCCCAAAAGAGAAGTTGCTTCAAAAGATATGGAACGAAGGATTGTGGCCCAGCTCCTAACCTGCATGGACGGTCAGTTTAAAATATTAAGTACACTTTGGGGCACCTGGGTGGCTCAGTCGCTTAAGCGTCCAGCTTCGGCTCAGGCCATGATCTCACGGTTCGTGGGCTCGAGCCCCGCGTCAGGCTCTGTGCTGACAGCTCAGAGCCTGGAGCCTGTTTCAGACTCTGCATCTCTTTCTCTCTCTGACCTTCCCCTGCTCACGTTGTCTCTCTCTCTCTCTAATAAAACATTAAAAAATTTTTTAAAAAACACTAAGTTTATTTTAAAATAATAAATTGTGTTTATTTTAACATGTAAGTAGCACGTGAGGATACGAGGTATTCAGGTAAAGTAAAACTGAGAGTACAAAATCCTTTTCATAAAGAATCGTATCATTAATTTTTTGGAGTGCGTCTTAGTTATTTTAATGCATTCATACACAGAAATGTACTGATGTTGTTTTGCGTCCTACAATGCTAGGATTGCACCATATATCTTCTTCTGTATGATCTGTTGTTGTATCTTTTTTGTTTGTTTGTTTGTTTTGAGAGAGAGAGAGCATGAGCATGCAGGCACATGAGAGCCGTTGTGGGGAGGCGCACAGACAGAGAGAGAATCCCAAGCAGACTCACGACCTGTGAGATCACGACCTGAGCTGAAATCAAGAGTTGGACATTCAACCGACTGAGCCCCCCAGGCGCCCCTTGTTGCTTGTATCTTAACAGTACTTGTGGGAAATGTTGCCGTTTGAATGCCTTTTATTCTCCTGTTTCACTGCTGCGGGGTACTCTTCAGGGCAGAGTTCTCCTCTTGTACGTCAGCATCCCCTGCTCGCTCTCTTGGCTGCGGGCGTTAGAACTCACATGACCCAGCAGCGGGGCACACTTGGTCCCATCCCGGCCTCAGCCCCGGGGGCATTGAGCACACGCAGACTGTCCTCACGTGAACGCCTGCGTGCAGCTCGTGATGCTGCCTGAAGCATGAGGTACCAGCTCATTTCCTGTACTTTCTTTTGCTTGTTCCGCGACCTCATAGCACAACCGCTTCCTTGAGCTTTTATGCAGTTGTCAGCAAGATTTAAGAGCCTTCCTCTGTCACTGAAACCTTCCACCTTGTGCCTCTCTTCTCACTCCAAGGTTTACCAAAGGTGTAGTCACTGTCAAGTAAACACATTTGTATTTCTCTTCCACGACCGCCTCCACCATCGTTTTGAAGCGAAGTCTGGAATGATTGGGGGGCATCACAGCACTTACCTTTCCAAACCTTTGTTCTTTAGTTTCCTCGTCTATAAACCTACCGCTTGCCGGTGTGGCGGGGCTGGCTGCGGGCAGCTGTACCCTGGTACCTGGCAGGCAGTGAGCAGCAGCCAACACGTGTCAGTTTGGTGGTTCTCAATGGCGCTTGATGTGGCCAACCCCCTCGTCCTGGTTGTTGTTGACACACGTGGCTTGAGTGCCACTGCTGTCTTTCTGGCCTCTCCTTGGCTCTCCGGCGGAGCCTGACCAGTCCCCTTCCATACGTCCCTCCTCCCCAGTGCTCCAAACGGAGGTGCTCTGCAAGCTTCGTACTCGGTCTCCTTCTGCTTGTCTCTCAGCCATCTCCCGTGCAGCTCTCCATGAGACACGAATTCCATCTGTAACCTCGAGAAGCGTCAAATGCCTGTTCCTGCCTGCCTGTGAGATCCATCACAGTCAGTCTGTCTGAGTCCAGGCCCTCTCCTCCGATACCCACTCTGTCCCTTTCCCTTCTTTCCTGTTTCTGCACTCGGCCAGCAGCATCCCCACCCTCCTTGTCGTCCAGATGAGGTCCTCTGGTCTCTCCCTTCTCTGTCCCCTCTGCTGTGCCTGCAGCTACCCTGGACCTGACCATTTCCTGTTTCTTCCCCACCTTCCTTCTTTCTCTCCTCTCACCTGATGGCTGGGAGCAGACCACAGCCAGCTCTTCCCTGTATTCCTCTTTACTCTGTTCAAATTACGATTAAAATTGTTTTTCCGAAACATAAACCTTATCAGAAAAACCCTTTCCTGGCTTCCTGTTGGCTAAGAAATATTCTACAAGTTTCTCATGTCTCAGCTGTCAAAGTACTTAGCATCTTACTACCTTGTTACCCGTGAGGAGCATGATCTCACACTCCCCACTGACCCACCCTGGTTCAGTTGAGACCAGTAAACCACGGGAAAGTTACACCTGGGGCCATGCAGTCTGTCATTCCTACAACTGTGTCTAGATTAAGCCCGAGCAACACAGATGGTAGCGCACCCCATCTCCATGCCACGTGTCTGCTGTGAGACCTGCACTGCTCATTCCTGGCACACTCCGCTGCAGAGCTGCTCCCCAGTCTGAGCCCGACACGCGTGTTCATGCCTGTGCTGTCACTCACGCCATGTCTTCATGTGGATTTCGTAACGTGTGTCCACTTATTGGTGTCCTCATCCTTCAAGGCTTTCCCCACACATCACGTCCTCCGTGAATCTCCCTCGGTCCTCCGTCAGAATCTGCACTTTTCCATCAGATTCCTGTGATGCTTTGTTTAAACCTATTACTGTGTGTCACAGAATGTGTCCCGTGGCTTTCTCCGTTAGATTGTGAACTTCCTGAGGACAAAATTGTGTCTGTTTTCTTCACATCTTTCACATATGAGATAATTGGTAAATGATAGTTTCATGTACACATTGCCATCAAAACATAAACTGCTCTCTCTAACCACTTAACCCACTTCTGTAAACTTGATTATCCTCCATCTATAGGGTCTTATTCATCACTCATCCTGTGTCTGCTTCTTACTAGATCTGAATACCATGGCTGCCACAGCTCAGGTCCTAGTTATTGGAGCCACTAACCGCCCGGACTCATTAGACCCTGCTTTGAGACGTGCAGGAAGGTTCGACCGAGAAATATGCCTGGGTATCCCGGATGAAGCATCCAGGGAAAGGTACACTCTTTGTATGTCACAGTGTCATCTGAACCAAATGCTTTGAAAACGAGGGGTGACAAAAACCATGTAGCCTTTTCTTTTCTCTTTGTTCTTGTCCCAGTAACCTTGATTTGGACAGGAAAAGGCCCTCTTTATATTAATGCTTAAGAAACTAATGTGCTTGTCAATAATAGGGTCATTGTTTGAAGCTGTTTTCCCAGTAGTGATAGTGGTGTAAGGATGTATACCGCTTGGTCTGGCCCTACTGACGGTGGCTGGTGTCATGGAGCCTGCAGATCACCGTAAGGACAGTGTGGCCACCTGGGGAAGGAGAATGCTCGCTGGCCCACTTGTCATTTAAGTCAAGCACTAACATGCCTAAGACCACAGGTTTTGTGACAAAAGGCAGCTGGAGAGTTGAAAGCTGACTGGTTTTTTTTGCAAGACCAGCCTTTCCTAGTAATGGGGCTTGAATGTCCGTAGAGCAAAGAAATCGCCGCCAGTGTCTCAGTAAGCAAGGACGGTGCGGGAGCCACCTTTGAGGCAGTGCGTGGAGGTCTGATAAAGGGGTTTTCCGTGACACCGTGTCTATCGTGGCTTTGGCCTTAAGTTAGTGACACTAAAATTGATGTATGTGGTTCGAGGAGTACATGGCATGTAGTGAGAAGAAACAGTCACAGGACGGTGAGGGAGGGAAGGGGTGAGAGGCAGGAGGCTTAGCAGACGCAGGAAGTAGGAGTTGTTTAGGGCACATGGTGAGAGAGGGTGAGGCGGGGGCACATTGACTTTCTTCCCTTTCCCCGTGCGTAACGTGCTTTAGTTCCTGACTGTTCAGCAGTTTCTTCCTCGGTTACCACATTCAGTCAAGTGCGTGTGCTGATTGGACTCCCACAGATAATGGTGTTTAAACAGTCATGTAGCCACTCAGGCTTGTTTAGTAGTGTTCAGCCTGTAGCAAAATGATAGTTAATATCTATGTTGTTTGTATGCATTCCACAAACGTGTATTGAGTGTGTGGCATGGGCTGGTAAACTCGGGAAGGTGGTATAAGGCCCATGAAGAATTAGGAGTCCTTGCTTTCCAGAGGCCTGTGTCCTTTATTGAACCTTTTCATCCAGTGCACAACTTCTGTAAGGAGATGGATACGTGGGGCCCCTCTTTGCTGCTAGATGGGACCCTTCGTTCATCCACCTGGTGTTCCTTCCTTGACAGAGTCCTTAAAGGGCTTCTGCTAAGGGCTGTGGTTTGAAAAACTTGAAACCTACGGAAAAGTTGAAAGAACGGTACGATTAGTACCTGTATGCCCCTCAGCTGGGGGTACCACTCACTAGCATGTCCACATTTCCTTTCAGTCTCTGCAGAAAACCTACGTTTATTTGTGTGTGTGTGCATGCACGCTCATACTTTTTTTGTTTTCACCAAGCCATTTGAAGATGATGGACAACAGGATGACACTTTATCTGTAACTACTTCCGTGGCTGACGGTTACTCTGTTTCACACCATTTCAGGAAATTCAACACTGACACAAGAATATTAACATACAGTCTGTTCTGATTTTCCCAGTTGCCCCCAAAATGTCCATTTTAATTGTTTTCTTTTTGATTTTGTATAGTTTTGTGTTTCACATAAAATCCACTCCAGGATCAAACCCACTGTTTAGTCAACGTGACCCTTTAACCTTAATCTGCTTCTTTGGGGAGGAAGTGCTTTCATGACATTGACATTTCCCAAGTGCCTCATAGTTTAAACTTACGTGACCATTTCCTCCTGATAGGTCTCAGCTTAGGCGTTTTGGGCAAAATACTGCCTGGGTGGTGAGTTGTCCTCAGCGTCATCTCAGGAGGCTCAGAGTGTCCCTTTGTGTAATTATTGGTCATGTTAAGTCTGGTTACTTGGTTAAGTTTGTCAGAGTTTTCTCCTCTAAAGTTGCATTTTTTCCTTTATACTTAACGTAGTCCAGATATTTCTTAAATCGATGGTTACTTAATGGCCACATGTTGTCAGTTTGTCCAAATTCCATGTGAGACGCAGCGTGAGGTCTATTGGCATTCACATCGGTGATTCACATAGACCAGGTGGTCTGGCTCAGTTATTGCGGCCAGCAGAGAGATTGTATCTCAGACCAAAGGGATTTTAGATGTCCACTGTGTTTAAGGCCAGTTGGGAAGAGTGGGCTCAAAGCCTGAAAGATGATAGCTCTTAAATATAATCACAAGTGACAATTTTTTGAGTGAGTATATTAAAAAATTTATTCTGGTGGTTGTAAATGATATATCAGATAAAGGGTTAATATCCAGAATCTATAAGGAACTCACCAAACTCCACACCCAAAAAACAAACAACCCAGTGAAGAAATGGGCAGAAGATATGAACAGACACTTCTCCAAAGAGGACATCCAGATGGCCAACAGACAGATGAAACGATGCTTAGCATCCCTCCTCATCAGGGAAATATAAATCAAAACCACACTAAGATACCACCTCACGCCAGTCAGAGTGGCTAAAATGAGCAAACCAGAGAACTCTAGATGCTGGCGAGGATGTGGAGACACGGGCACCCTCCTACACTGTTGGTGGGAACGTAAACTGGTACAGCCCCTCTGGAAAACAGTGTGGAGGTTCCTCAGGAAACTAACAATAGAACTCCCCTATGACCCAGCAGTAGCATTGCTAGGAATTTACCCAAGGGATACAGAAATGCTGATGCATAGGAGCACATGGACCCCAATGTTCATAGCAGCACTCTCCACAATAGCTAAAACATGGAAAGAGCCTAAGTGTCCATCAACGGACGGATGGATCAAGAAGATGTGGTTTATCTATACCATGGAATACTACATGGCAGTGAGAAACAATGAAATCTGGCCACGTGTAGCAACATGGATGGACCTTGAGGGTGTTATGCTGTGCGAAATAAGTCAGGCAGAGAAGGACAAATATCATATGTTTGCACATATAGGAGGATTAGGAGGAACTTAACTGAGGAACAAGGGGGGAAATGGTGGGGGAAAAGGAGAGAGGCAAACCATGAGAGACTCTTGAATGCTGACAAAAACTGAGGACTGATGGATGTGGGGGGGAGGGGGGATGGCCATAGAGGAGGATACTTGTGGGGATGAGCACTGGGTGTTATGTGGGAACTAATTTGACAATAAACTATTTGTAAATAAATAAAAGAAAAAAATTTATTCTGGTAAAAATAAACACATAAAATTTACCATGTTAACCATTAAAAAAATTTTTTTTAATGTTTTATTTATTTCTGAGAGAGAGAGAGAGACAGCGTGAGCAGAGGAGGGTCAGAGAGAGAGGGAGACACAGAATTGGAAACAGGCTCCAGGCTCTGAGCTGTCAGCACAGAGCCTGACGCAGGGCTCGAACCCACAAACCGTGAGATCATGACCTGAGCTGAAGTTGGACGCTTAACCAACTGAGCCACCCAGGTACCCCCCCATGTTAACCATATTTAACAGTACAGTTTAGGAATATTAACTTTATTTACTTTGCAACAGATTTCTAGTACTTTTTCATTTTGCAATTTAATCCTGAAAAGTTAACACTCAATATACTAAGGATGGAGGCACAGTGGTTGGCACTTCAGTCACTACTGTGCGTGATTGGAAGAATGATGAATACAAAAAGAAAGAAACAGGGTCTTAGGTAGGATGTATCAGACAAAGTAGACCTGGTCTGAGGTTTCTTAAAGGGTTCTCTGAGGAAGCTGAGACTTTAAGAATAATAACAATTAACCGATCACATGATGATAAGAGTATTCCCGGTAGGAGTAGCATATGCAAAGGCCCTGAGGTGACTGAACTCAGTGAGTCCAGGGACCTAGAAGAGGAACACTATGGCTGTAGAAGAGATAAGGCACGGAAAGCCTGGCGAGGTATGCAGAAGGCAGTTCACATACACTTGGTAAGGATTTTGGACCTCTTTGTGAATGATGGGAAGGAATTAAAGCTATTAAATTAAGCAGGACAGTGATGGAAACAGACTTTGTTTTGGAACAGATCACTGTAGCTGCAGCATGAAGAATGAAGGAAAAAAGAGCAGGAATGGGTTCTAGTGACTCAGTCACAAGGCTGTTGTGGTATCCAGATGAGGTGGTGATGGGCTTAAGGAGATGGGAGTATAGGTGGCAATAAGTGCAGCGGTGCCCGCTGGGAGCGCAGGTGAATGGAGTGTACCTGCGGCGGTCCTGGTGGGAGCACACAGGTAGAGCACACCTGGAGTAATCTGTCGTTTAGCCAGTAGACCCCGTGTGTTGCATTTTTTGGCAGAAGGTACATATGGAAGGTCAGAGCTATGATCGAGCAGGAAGGAATAGTCCCATTTCTGTCTTTATTTTTTGAGAGAGAGAGAGGGTGCAAGTGAGTGAGGGGCCAGGAGAGAGAGAATCTCTCAGGAGGGGCAGAGAGAGAGAAGCAGGGTTCACCCAGGGGAGGGGCTGTGATCTTGAACCGTGAGATCATGACCTGAGGCAAAGGCCGAGGCTTAACCAACGGAGCCACCCAGGCGCCCCTCAAGTTTCTGATTTGAGCATCTGTGCTGCTGGTTTTCTCTGAGAGGATAGGAAATAGTGGAGGACTTGCAAGTTTTAGGAGGGGACCTGGGGAGAGATGGAGGGGATGGGGGCAGTGAGCTGGAGGGGAGTGGAAACGTCATGGTGGCCATCGGGAGGGTCTAGAGCTCTGAGGAGGTGAACCCTGGGGAATCAGCAGCAGGCTAGAGGCATCTGAGCTGCTGAAGGCGGAGCGTGTTGGCCAGAGCGGCAGCTGCGACTCTGGGGTGGGCTGAGGGCGTGGAAGGAGCAGCCAGCCAGTTACCTTAACCGAAAGCTGTGTGATCAGGATGACCAAGCAGAGTCGCAGTCAAGCAAGCAGACGTGCGTGATTCACCGACGGAAAGTTTGGCTGCAAGAGAGGGATAGTAGTGGCCGTGCAAGGTGGCCTTTGGAGTGTCAGAGGGGACTCCTCAAGAGAAACCAGAGTGACTTTGAATGTTGTGGGAAGGA